AACCATCATTCAACGTTGAATCCACGTTAAAACAACGTTGAGATTGGTTCACAAATCGACGTCGTACATTTGACCATGAATGAACGTTAATTCAACGTCTGTTGGCTGCTGTTGAACCAATGTTTGTAAAACAACGTCATAGCAACGTAGATATTAGGTTGTCGACGTCGCAACCTTTTTTCTACCAAATTTCAACGTTGAAACAACGTCGTGTGCCCGGTGGGCTAGTGGCTCTTGATAACATTCCAGTTTTTCTCTTGAAATTGGGCGCACATACGACAATTGAATCACTGACTTATATCATCAATTTAGGTATTCGTAGTCGCACTATGCCGAATGATTGGAAATGTGCTGGACTCACTCCTGTTTATAAGGATAGTTTCAAAATGAATCCTAACAACTACTGTAATAATTGATCACAATATTCTATTAAAAAAATTCTCATGCTATGCATGGTTTCAGTAACAATACTTGATCTCTTTCGCAACTATCTCTCTGAACGAACTCAGGTTACTGTTATTAAAATGCAATCTTCAGCGTGGGTTCCCACAAGATTTATTTTGGGGCCCCTCCTATTCCTACTCCTATTCCTTTTCTTATTTAATATGTATTAACGATCTACTAGATTGCATGCTGCCTTTTTGCTAATGACACAAATTTGACATATGCGAATAAAGACAAAATCCCTGGGGCTTATGATTGATGAAAAGTTATCGTGGGAAGAACACGTAAATTATAAATCCAAAAAAGTAGCCAAAGGCCTGGAAATGTTAAGACACATTCGTGATCTGGTGTCAATTAACACGCTAGTTGACATGTACTCTTCTATCATTCTCCTCCATTTTGATTATCGTAGTGCTGTGTGGGATAATTGCAGAAAAGGTTTACGGGATAAAATACGAAGTACGCTCTTCCCAAATTTTAAGTAACTTAAATTGGCCGACACTAGAAGATGGCGAATGATTGTCTAATGTTCAAAGTGTACCACAAATTAGGTCAATCTTATCTTTCACGGCCATCTAATCGAGCGAATTTAATTCACAGTCATGGTACACGAGGTCATGACTACAATTTTGTTATCCCTAAATCAAACACCAACGTATAGTATAACGGAGCAGTGGTATGGAATTCAATACCAATTGAAATTTGGAGTTCCACTTTTCCTGAATATATTAAAAAATAAACTGTAAAATTAACTTGTTATGTATATAGCTTTAATTTCCCATTCTCCTTGTAAATATTGTAAATATTTCAAATGTCACGGCGCCTGGGAAGATCACCTTATTTTCAATGACAGGCCTCCGTGCCGAAATAAAGTTCACTATCACTATACCTGATCAACCAGAAATTATAGCTAATGCTAAAAAGCTAAGGCATTGAGTTGGACGAGCTCTTATCTTGGGCTGAACATATAACCATGATTACCGAAAAAGTATAACCAAGGTAATGGAGCTCTCAGGCGGTTAAATTCATATTTTTCGCTGTCAGTCCTCGTCATTTTATAAGTCGTTGATTATTGTAGTAGCGTCTGGAGCAAATTAGGGAAGGTCTTGGGATGCAAGCATCAAAAATTACAAAACAAAGCTGCACGGATTATTACGAGGTCTGACAACAGGTAGGCAATTTGTCGACGCTGACCAAAAATAGCGGCTCATTTCTTCTTGAGTTGCCATTTTCACGTCGAAGAGGAAAAATATAGACTTTCGGAGGATATTTTAGCTGTTTTATACTATCAAATATGTTTGTGAAACAGTTGATAATCTTACTGAGGAAGGCCCGGCCAACGGTTTCTGAAAAGCTAAAGTACGTCGAAATCAGCATTGGAATAGACTATATTCTCACCGGGGAAACACAACCTAAATGGATATTTATATCAACACTAAATTTTGCTCGTGCCTACGGAGCTAGTTGGATTAAAACAGATGTTAAGAAGTAAGTGAAAATGTGAACTTTGTGAATTAATTATACTTTCATTAAAATGTTTCAGATGGTCTGCTAATGCCAAACGACACGTGTGATAGAGCTGTCAATATACCCATATTTCAATGTTTATGTTGAAATGACCCTGGCCATCTTCTTTGAGGTATAGCTTAAAAGTTAGAGTATGCTCATCACTTGAAACTAGCTTTAAATCAAAGTTTTATCTATAGTCTTTTTATTAGAATTAAAATCATTCATGGGAAAAATGTGCCAAAGGGTTGAAATTGCCCTTGTAAATATGCACTATTTTTGACATGTTTGGGTTAGTATTTTGAAAAGGTGTTCTGGAAGGAAAATATTTAAATATGTCTTGAACAATACTGGTTGACCCTTAAATTATACCTAGTGTTATGTAAATCACAGAAAATTGAAAAAAGTCTGATCCATATATACACAACAGTTTGGATTCTATGAGGTCCCGAATGCGGCTTATTTCAATCTGTTTACCTGGAAAGACATAGAAAATTGAATAAGTTAAGAATTTGACTATGCTCATCACCCAAAAACAGGTTTTTCTAATTGCTTTTTCACCTGGGTTTGTGGCAATACCAGTTATGCGACCACGAAAAATGCGCGTGGCACTTTTTTTGGACACTGTAGATGGCAACATTTGATGTTGTTATATATTGCCATCCTCTTATCATTATGATAGTATAACTTAACTTATTTTAGTGAGTTTATTAAAGAATTGTGCTCACTATATGCCTGTAGTATCTAAGACTTTTTCCATAGCATTAGATGATAAATTTAAGTTCTGTTTTCTTTTATTTTTAGGTGATAGTATCTGTTCACATGTGTTAGTATCAAATTTTGCACACAAGATTAAATTATTATTTCACATTCCATTATTGAAATATCCAAATAAATGGAATATGACATCAAGCTGGAGGACAAATCCTGTTTGCAAACTTCTTTTTGTAAAAATAGAAAATAACAACTTATTATGTGTTGTTCTAAATATTTGCTTTGCATATTTATAAAAATTTTGATATGCATATTTAATTTTTGAAATTACATTTCATTCTTTGTTAAAATGTGTACCAGGAATACTGAAATCTTTCAGATCAGCTAACAATACCTTTGTAACTTATATAGCCAAGTGTTCTATCTATTTCTGTTCAGATTAAACAAATGATGGGCAAAATATTAGATTAGATTTTTGCAAAACAATGAGCTTTCCTGTTTTAGAAGCATAAAAAGCAATAAAATAAAGCAAAAGTACTTATTTTCAATTTAAAACCTTTGGAATGCATAGCTTAATGTTTTCCACTAAATATTACAAAGTTTCCGTTCATTACAATGTTGTTTTATCAGCTTTAAAACCAGATAAATTCACGAAACGCTCCTAATATTCGTCGCCATATTGATTTTCTTCGCGCATGCTCAGACAAATTGCCCACCTGTTGGGTCTGACTATGTTTGTTTTGAGATAAGATTTTGAACTCACTAAACTGGAATAATCTAGAGAAAAGACGTTCTCGGCAATTTGGGGTCTTAATCTCGGCAATTTGGGGTCTTAATCAACAAAATGGTACCCAACTATATCTTTCAAGCAAATTCACACCACTTAATATACACTTTCCAAAGTCCTTTCCAGACCCCTCTATGGCGCGCTTCACTTTCTCTGTGGAAAGCAGTGAACTCAAAAGACCTGGAACGATAACTCCTATGTTCAAGTGCTATGATTGGTTGAAGCCAATTTGAAGCTCAAAGCGGGAAACCGCGCGGCGAAAATGCACTTTCAAAAAGACTAGGGTGAGTTACGAGGAGTGCGAAATTCAGTCAAAACGTTTTTTGAGCGAAAATTAGCAAGAAAAATCCTTTTTTCATCAAAAGACTTCAAGTTAAAATATCCAAACCTGTTTTTTTTGGATAGTTCTAACTTGCTTGCACTTAGTTGAAGCAAAACTTTGAGGGGTAAACATTTTTGTATTGTTAAAAATGATAAATATTTGAACTTGCCCATGAAAACTTCGCCTTGCAACAACGAAAAAAATACTTTAGAATATTTCGGCGATATTAAAACTTGTTTAGTACTGAAGCCCATATAATGAAGTCGATTTTGAACTTTTAATCTATCCCTTAGCCGCTGTAAAACGTGAAAAATATATGTTTTCCAGTAACCTGCGATCAGGCATATAAATAAAGCTTCGCGACCGCGCGACGAAGGATGCGAGCACACCACATTCGATTTGTCAACGGCGTGGTTGTTATGGCGGTTTTGCAAAGTATTTTTTCGTTAAACTTTACTTGCATAAAACCTACTTACCTTGCCAAATGTAAAGCAAAACTAAAGCCGAAAGCCAAGATGAATAAAAGCTGTTTGGATTGTGTGTTGATGGCAAAATGAAGACGATCGGAACAGAAGTAAAATATAACGTGCTTTCGAAATATATTTTGGAATATATTTATCGTTATCCAACATTCAAGATTTTGGACAAAAAGGTATAATACTTTAACTGAAATTACAAATATTTATGAATTATACAACTGATAATAAAACGATTCACGTTTAACTTTATTGATTTTAAACAGGATCAACTTCGTTAGCTGGTGCCTGACGCTTGGCTGTCCATTAACCACCTTGTTGTTGTATCGTTTGCCGTAAGTAAAGAGTCTCAGGTAAAGTATCTTTCTGCCGTTAATTTGATAAGGGATGACCGGTGATTTTCTTCAAGTGAATTGTCTTGCGATCCCTGATCGTGATCTTGGAAAATTTGGTGGGTGAATCCATTACAAAATGGTTGCACACACTCAGAACCAGCTTCTGCTTTAACTTGTTTTCTCTTGAAATTTTGAGGCCATCTTTGCAAACATTTACTTTAAATAATTTTTCAGCAAATTCAATAATGTTGTAAACAGATTGTGATGGTATTTTTAGGCCACCATTGTTCACAAATAATGTGAATGCTGATGCAGGGGCAATTTGACTGTAATTCATAGCACAGTAATCATGGTCTGAAGTTTCAGAGTTGAAGTGAGAAAGTAGATATCGCTTGCATGATTCACACGATAGTTTTTTAACCAGTTTGAAAACTGATGTAAAACAGGATGTTGGACAGAAATTCGGATGTACTGATTCGACTGCAGAGTAGGTCTTCTTCAGGACTGCTTTCAGGTTCGTCCAGGTTATCTGTTGGAGTTTCTTTTAAATGTGCTTTGTGTTTCTGGGAGTGAAAGAATGGGATAATTGTTGTTGTGGAATCAGAAAATGTCAGGCAGTTGGCATTTTTTGAGGCTATGATTGTGTTCCTCAACAGCATTTTACTCATTGCATACTTCAGTTGTAGGCAGTTCGGATTGTTGTTCCAGCCACCCTGTGCTCTTATATACGAAAATAATAGTTCAATTTGATCCTGTGAGAACCTGTAAGTAAGCTGATATTTGAAAGCATTTTCATCACTGAACATTGCTGTTGTCATATCAATTGTCGATTTAATAGTTGTGACAAAGCCAGTAATGAATGTTTTTCTTTGATGTGTGACCAACAATTGGTTGGTACTGTCATGTGTTTTTAAACTGAGCAAATACTCAGCAGAATGCTTCAAGATTTCTTCCCATGTATTTCTCGATTGATGACGCAGTGGTTGTTCAAATCCTTTTGCAATTGGGTTTCGAGAGTTTAGAATGTCAAATAATCTATCCACTATTCTGATAAATTTAACAGTGCCGATTGAGTTTTGAAATTCTTTAAGTTTCACTGATTTATCTAAAAATTCAATAGCATCTGCTACAGATGAGCTAAGGGTTTGGGCTGCTAGTTGGACATTCATTTTGTGCTTCAAAAACTGGAGATGTCTTGATGAAAACTTGTTTGCTAATTTGAAACCTTCACATTCTTGGATTTTATTGAGTGATGAAAATAATTTCCATGTGATAATATTGTTTTCACAGTCAACGATAGAACCTAAGTGACCCAAAGCATTCCTTGCCAATTTAAGCATGTGACATGGGTCCAAAATTGCATATACGAAGTAGTTTTGAGTAGGGTGTTTAAACTTGGTAATCATGCTTTAATATGATGTTGTAAACTTGCAGCCAAGTTCACTGAACATGGTGAAATTGACAGAAGTACCATCTGCTGTTACAGAATAGACACGTAATCCAGCTTCAGCTGCCATAATGAGTGCTTCCTGAACCAACTTGGCTTGCATTTTTCCAGTCATTTTGTCAGTGAGAAAATATCCAATAGGACATTTCCAATTACTTCTGGCCCCCACAAGAACAAATACTAGTGCTTCTGATGCATATTGATCTGGTTTACTGGTAGGTATATGTCCATAGTCTACAAACCCCACATACTTATCATTTTTAGAGTCCCATAGAGTTTGCTTCCTAATTGCCATCCCATCAATTATAAGACAACAGTCTTTCTTTTCAGGACTGAGCAATGCTTCCTTTTTTAGGGATTCAAATGACTCTTTAAAGAATCCGGGATTGCACTCAACAACACTTGACCACTTTCTAATAAGTGATGGATGTGGTAATGAAACTATTGACCTTACATATTCGTATGCTTTTGGTAGTAATTGCGAATTCTTTGACAACGTCTACATATCTCCTCCCACAAGGATCACAGCTAACATTATTTTTTGTGTCTCTGAAAATTGCAAGTTGCACCCCATCAAATTTTGCCGAAAGTAGTTCTGCATCATCTTGACAGATAAGAAGCTTTTGTTGTAGGTCTTGTATAATATCTCCCATGGTCTGTTTTCTGGCTTTAGTTCGCCTTATTGTTGCTGCAAGCCTTTATTTTTATTTTTCGTTTATCCTCTAGGGTTTTCCTATCTTGGTCTTTTTCCAAATCTTCTATGGTGTTGGCTTTTTTGCAGTAGGTATGGTCATGCTTGACAATATCAAGAGATGATACGGTTGTCAACACCTCTAGATTACATGGATGTTCTATCTTTTTTCTTAATTTTTTAGGGATGCCATAGACTGAGTTGCTTGATGAATTGAATATAGTGGGTACAGCTGTGGATTTCAACCTGCAGCTTTCATTTTCAGAAGGAGGAATAATGTAATCGGATTGTGGGAAGTGCTTGCTGCAGATGTATGTATATCGTGTTGCTTTCCAATCAGGAGAGTTGTTTACTTCGCGGACTGCTTTCTCCCACTTTCCAAGAACTTTTGGGTTATTTAGAGGGAATCTAAATAAATGCAGTGTAAATTACAATGCGTGAGTGTATGTGTATATGTATGTACATAATTATTATGCTTACTTTATATTTGTATTTAAATAGATCCTTAGCTGATGCTAGTTTACAAAAGGTCTCTACTTTAAAACTAATTAGTAGTTGTCCTTAGTACTTTATAGCCTTGTACTGTACATACCATAGTGTAGCAGCTGTAAACAGTAATGTTTATATTAAAATTTAATTAAATACAATTGCTTAAGTGCACAAATATGTGACAATTTATTCTCAAATTATGTCACTTAAAAGTATTTATTTAATATTTTATATGTGTATTTATGTTTATTTTTACAATGTGATAAGATTAAATCTGTTGTTGTTATTTTCAAATATCCTGAACGCCTCACCTGTGAAATGCAATCTTTTTTCCAGTGTTGGTTGTGTTTTTTTGTCTTCTTTTTAACTGGTTTTTGCTTGCTGTTACAGCACAAAAGTACACAAGCAAAAGGCATGTTTATATCTCAGCACCAAGTAAAAAAAAAATTTTAACGTGTTTTTTTATATATTTTCGAAAATATTTCGCATTTGTTGACACTCTGAATTTCCAGAAAAAGGACTGGGTCTAGTAGAATTCACTTTGGACTCGGCTTTTTCCAAAAAATAGGTAGAAAAATGATAGTTTTCGTTAGATAGCGTTAAATCTAAAGCTTTAAAACATATACACGGATAGTTTTTAGTGTTTTACGTCCATTTAAAGGGGAAACTTCTGAGGTGTCAGTTTCATATTGCAAATATTGCACAAGTTTAAACGCGCCGAACAAAACTTCAACATTTAACTCCTTAAAAAAGATGCTTAAAGTTGATTTGTATCCTCGAAAATGTTTTTTTTATAAAAGAGCAGGTGAGATTGAAGCTTTTTAAACTTTGCTTTTGTTTGATTGTAACTTTGATGTATGAGAAAACATCCAGCGGAAATGGGGTGTATTTTCGAGGCCTGACGTGTAATGGCGGCCTTCAATTTGGCTTCAAAGAAGGCGGCCGAGTTATCGTTCCAGGTCTTTTGAGTTCACTGGTGGAAAGGCCTTTTGTCACTTGCAGCGCGCCAAATCAATCTCGAAACCAGAGCCCGCAATCCCCTGTGGATGCTTGCTGAGGCTCATTTTGCACGAAAATCAGTTCATTTGGTCTCAGTAGACCGCGTAACATTTATATGTAAACATGGCTGCCCGACAGGGAGTAGCTTGCGAAAACGTGAGAACTGATGATATTGTTCAGGCGAACTGCGACCCTAGTTCTTCTTCTAGCTAAGAACTCTCGTCCGGGTCTTAAAGAACTGAATGACATTGAGAGCGATATAATTAGGTTTGGTGGAAAACGCGGACACCCGGACATGTGGACACGCAAGTCAGGTGGAAAACGCGGACATGCGGACACGCAGACATGCGGACACGCAGGTCAGGTGGAAAACGCAGACATGCGGACACGAAATTAGGCCTTTTCCGATTGCGCTGGTAAAATATAAAAAGTGCTGGCAAAAATGGCTAAAAAGTGCTCAAAAAGTGCTCAAACTCAAAATAGTGCTCAAAAAGTGCTAAAATTGTGAACAGTTATTTCTAACATTTTCGTAATTTTTTTAAAATCAACATTTTTGAAAATCTGCCGTCCACGTCTTTCTCCATACATGGAACAAACTTCCGTATATGGAGTTGTTTACGAAAAAAAAAAGGAGAAAAAGTCAGCGACTCGGCGTTCTAATTTTTTAACCGTAATGTCATATGAAGCTGTACGGCTTTTCGTTTGGAGTTTTACCTAAATTATATATATATAATAATAGTATAATACCCTTCAATTAGTATACGAATCGAATCTATAATCGCTGACTTTTTGTTGCTCGAAATTCGCTCGAAATGTGAAATATTGCTCCAATGTTGCCCAAAGTGCGAAGAAGTGCTCAAGGTTGCTCAACTCCAAAATAGCGCTCCAAACTAAAAGAAGTGCTCAGAAAGTGCTCAGCGCAATCGGAAAAGGCCTACACGGAATTTACTAAACTTCAACGAATCTATTACAACAATAATTAATAATTTTTCGCGTGCTATTGAAAGTTATCAATGCCAAGGTTGTGTTATAACACTTACTTATTTTTTCATTCTCTTTTGCCTGTCTTAGTTTGTAAGCTCGTTTGGTGTATTTCGCTTCTTTTTTTAGTTACAGAAACAAATCTCGCCATGGGCCATGGCTTTCTATGTTCTGCATCTAAAGAAGCTCGTTTTTGCTGGCAGAATTGATGTCATATTTACATTCAGAAAGCTATATCTGCAGGCATGATGTCATAATTACACAATCAAAACGGAGATTGTATAGGAAATAATGCCTAGCTGAAGATTGATAATGGATTGTCGCGCGAACTTTTACTGTTTTCATGTATTTTACTTACTGGCGGTATTGACGATTTTGAACAACGGCAATTCAAAAAAGAAACGTTTTCATATATTCAAGTTTCAACTACATTTGTTTTAATCGTCATCACGAATTATACTAGGTTATATTTTATAAGTGAGGAATTACAGAGTAATTTGATATACATACACATACACATATATTTTGAGGTCTTTTGATGGTTTACTTCCTTGCTTCAAGGTTAAGTTCTCAGTGCAAAATTGTAGCTGATCATGACTAACTTGTAATTGCCGATCAACACTAGGGGTACAGTTGATCGCACGCGCAGGTATACTTTTGCAACTATTTATTCGTCGGGATCATTATTATGATATAGAATGCCCGTCTATTTTGACACTTCGTACCTCCTTCAATCCTTTTTAATCCTTCCTCACAATAGGTGATTAACTAATGAGCTTGGCTAAAGGTCGTGCGTCAAAATATGCCGAAGGTCAGGAAATATATCTATATCACAACGAATTTTTTGTCACTTGAAGCGAGGGATATCGGAGAGCAGCAAAACTTAAATACTTGTTGTAACTTGAGTTATAGTTATAGCACCGAAAGTTAACTAATTTGTTTATTAATTAACTGCATTCAACTTAGCCGAGTAAGTGTGCTTCAATACTAAAATTCTGGCAAGTTTTACAGGGAAAGTTTTGTCTGAATGAAGATTTAATTCATTTGAAAGGGTTATATTTTAAGGGCAGAATGTCTTCCTACGGCTTGTCCCGGACAACCTGATACTTAATGGATTACAGGCTAGGCTTAATTTCGAGCATAATTTCGAGCATAATAGGGCTTCAGAAGCATAATAGACACTTACGAGGATAGTCGGCTTTGCCTTTGGAGCTAGAATCTAAAGAAATAAAAATTAAATGAGACTATAGCACAGGCCAGGATCCTGGGCACTATTAAAACAATGAGTTTTGTCACGAGAGTTAAAACAATGAATTAGTTGTAAATGCTTTGACTGTATTGAGAGGTCCCAGAAAGTCAGATCTGGCTTGTTTGAACATTTTCCTACCTTTTCTATTTATTTATTTATTTATTTATTTAACTTCGCCAGGTAAAAATTACACGAATGACATGCATACAATACAAATACAAAAAAAACTATACAAGTGACGAATGGCGGGGACACCACAACAGTTAAAACCAATTACTGCGGGCCCTTTTAACATATAGGTTACATACAGATATCTAAAAACAACAGTTGATAACATTGGTCAAACTTCGACAAGAGTTACAATTTAAACATATAGATCTCCATGTTCTTGGGTCCTCTGCATCAAAACAACTGTGCAGGGCTTTCGAATAATATTGTCGTAATAAACTCTTAAATGTACTTAAACTTAAATTTGGTTGTCTTAAGTCTGTTGGAAGACAATTCCATACTCTCGTGACGCGGGTAATATACGATCGCTTGAAAGTCCTAGTCCTGCATTTCGGGGGGCGGAAGGATAACTCACTGGCACTGGAAGATCTAGTTACTCTCGTGGGGATTATCGGTTTAGGGAGAACATCTTCAGATATGACAACCAGCCCATTTATAGCTTTATAGAAGAACACAAGATCCATGTACTCATGCCAGTACGATAACAGCATCAGTTCTAAAGTGATCAACCTATCACAGTAAGACTTGCTACACATGAAGGGAAGATTCAGTATGAACTTGGAAGCTCTTCTCTGGATACGTTCTGTTCGTTTGATGAGACCGATGGACTGGGGCAACCATACCTGACTTGCATAGGCAAGAACAGGGCGAACCACTGACAGATAAAGTGTGCGACGAGTCCTTGTGTTTGTTATTTCTCTACCGCTTCTCCTCACGAAACCTAACAGTTTGTTTGCTTTTGTACAACGTTCCAGAACGTGCTTGGTCCACGTAAGGTCACTAGAAACCCAAATTCCCAGGTCCTTTTCAGCTGATGTTGTTGTAAGTTCGTTGTCCTTGATCGCGTACGGATAAATAACGGGCTGGGTTTTCCTCGTTACACGCAGACATTTACACTTGAGTTGGTTGAAGACGAAACCACTGGAGGTAGACCAACTGTCTAGGTTACTCAGATCAGTTTGGAGTAAATCAGGATCACAGATAGAATCCACGCGACGAAAGATCTTGGTGTCGTCAGCAAAACAGGCAACATTTGAGTTCTTGACAACATCAGGTAGGTCATTTACATAGAGGAGGAACAGGATGGGGCCAAAGATACTGCCTTGAGGTACTCCCGAAGAAACTGGTTTTTCAGAAGACGTTGCACCAAGAGTAGTAACGCGCTGTCGACGATTATATCGATAAGAAGAAAACCAATCGAGCAGAGATCCATTGATATATTATATCTTTCAAGTTTGGCGATAAGCGCAGCGTGACTGACCTTGTCGAAGGCCTTAGACATGTCCACGAAAATGACATCTGTTTGTTTACCCGAGTCTAACAGAGAACCAATGGAATTGAGCACCTCAACTAGCTGGGTGGTACATGATCTGCCTGGGACAAATCCATGTTGTTAGGTGTTAATTAGTTTCAACAGGTGAACACGCAGCTTGCTCAACACGCAGCGCTCGAGGACTTTCGATACGATGCAGAGGAGTGAAATCGGACGATAGTTCTCAACGTGGGTTTTGTTCTCCTTTCTTGAAAACTGGAATGATGTTAGCCAGTTTCCAGTCCTCTGGTAAATAGCCACTATTGAGAGATCGATTAAATAGAGAACATAACGATGTAGCAATTTGATGGGCAGTTTCTTTTAGAAGTCTGGGAGGTATACCGTCAGGGCCTGTTGCTTTGTTGGTATCAAGGTTTAGAAGAACAATTAAAACGTTGTCGAGGCAAGGATTCAATTCTGACAGAGTAGATTCGCAACCGGTAGTTGAGGGAGGAGTAATTGAATCAATTGGATTGTCGTTGCCGTTTAGAACAGATGAAAAGTACACTGGCATTGAAAAGCTCTACAATGTCACGGGGGCAGGATGCTGATTGAACTGAGATCGGGTCCGATTCACCTACTCCCATCGAGACTTTTTTTTCTCCTTTCCTTCGAGCATACTTCGAGCATAATAGGCTGTTTCACGAGCGTAATAGATTGTTTTAATTAACGAACACTGCCTTCGGGCATAATTACACAAGCCTATATTAAATCCTAGATAATCAGTACACCATTTAATTAGTTATCAGTGGCATAGCCGGCCTGACAATTTGGTCATGCTAAGCAAGTTTTAAATAATAATTACCCATTTCTTTAGAAATTGATTGTTTCACAATCTAGAACATGAAAATATTTGCATATAGCATTACCAAAAACACGTTCCAAACTATTTTCAATAATTCCAAACTATTTTTTTTCTGCAAAAATTAGAAAAAATAACAAAAAGTGCGAAGATTTCATTTTAGCAAATCGAAATACTATTTTTTTGCAGAGACTCTGCAAAAAAACAGCATTTTTATCTAAACGAGACACCATTCTGAAATCATTAATGCTAAAGTGCATATTTGCAGTATTCATACTTACATGAATGACACTGGTTTCAGATTATCATATATAAATACACCAACCATTGTCAGATATAAATATAAATAGGTAGCTGAATTTCAGACACCGAAATCCGTTTGAGTTTGTCAAAATCATACATAATACCAACCATGAGAGATAAATTAGCTGTCTGAATTTCAGACACCGAAAACGGTTTGAGTTTGTCAAAATCCTATATAAATATCAACCATGCAGACTGAGATAAATTAGGTGTCTGAATTTCAGACGCCGAAAACGGTTTGAATTTGTCAAAATCATATATAAATACCAACCATGCAGAGATAAATTAGGTGTCTGAATTTCAGACACCCAAAACGGTTTGAGTTTGTCAAAATCATATATAAATATCAACCATGCAGACTGAGATAAATTAGGTGTCTGAATTTGAAACATCGAAAACGGTTTCAGTTTGTCAAAATCATATATAAATACCAACCATGCAGAGATAAATTAGGTGTCTGAATTTCAGACACCCAAAACGGTTTGAGTTTGTCAAAATCATATATAAATATCAACCATGCAGACTGAGATAAATTAGGTGTCTGAATTTGAAACATCGAAAACGGTTTCAGTTTGTCAAAATCATATATAAATACCAACCATGCAGAGATAAATTAGGTGTCTGAATTTCAGACACCCAAAACGGTTTGAGTTTGTCAAAATCATATATAAATATCAACCATGCAGACTGAGATAAATTAGGTGTCTGAATTTGAAACATCGAAAACGGTTTCAGTTTGTCAAAATCATATATAAATACCAACCATGCAGAGATAAATTAGGTGTCTGAATTTCAGACACCCAAAACGGTTTGAGTTTGTCAAAATCATATAT